TTTATGGTGTCTCTCAAAATTTGTGGATTCGATGAATTTACTCTCCAAAAGTATTGTAAGCAAACAATGAGTTCCTTGAATTACATATCCAAATCCATGAAGTTGATGACCCCTAAAGCACTAAATGACTTAAAATAATTTTACCGGGATATAATTTCAAGTTAGGTAACTTATATAGATGTAAACCGTTAGATCATACTAAAATAAACTTAGACCCTCGGATTAAAAAACATAAAAACATCTGTAATACTTGTCACCGGGGCTGCCGGTCATCTCACTTATTCAATTAGTTTTATTGTTCCCGTCACCAACGCGTTAGGGTTTGTTCCTCCTAATTATTGCTTAATCTGCAGTCCCAAGTCTAAATAATCTCAAGCTTCATCTTCGTTGCGGCCGCCGTCGTAGCTGTAGTTGTACGTATCCTTGCTCATCAAGTCGACGACAATCGCCTGCTTTGGATCACTCCCAGCGTGCACTTGCTTCCACAGTCGTAATTGTACTGTCCTTGTTTACTTGCTTCGTCGGAAATCGACTGGCTAGGCTCCCTCCCGGCGTGCGCTTACGTACCTGAGATCGCAGCCGCAACGTGGTGGTAATTGTGGTTGCATGATGGATAGTTATTAGGAGCTGGAGGTGCTTGCTCAATCTCTTCGGCTGACGTCGCTACATGCTGGATAAAAAAAGAAAAGGAAGAAAGAACTGCGGTAAAGGGAACTAGGAAGGTAATTACGCTGCTCCCTCTTCCATAAAATTAACCTACAGTTCTTCCCCTCATGTAATTACTTGGTATGTTGGTGTCATTTTAGGGTTCAGGTTTAGCACCCTTGATAATCAATCTTTCTTGTTAAAATAAATTGGCATGTTGGTGTATGTGCAATATTTAATATTGTAGAGAAGGCCATTAATTACAGCTGGTCAAAGAGCCACAAACAAAATTTTCGTTGAAATTAGCGGGAAGAAACTTTGGAGGTGAATTCATTATACTACTAACCAATTAATCAACCTTTCCTGTTAATTCTACTCATATTACTTCTTTACTTGGATCATCACTATAATAATGAAACTAAAAAGCTTTTGCAAGTTATACGTAAGCATGAAGGGGGATTTGCAAGCTTTATGTTCAATATGAAACGTAACCCAACCTTTTTTGAGCTGTTACTCATCATCGTACTTATTTTATTAAAGTTTAAATTTAATTTCTGTTATGTACAGTTCAAAGATGAGTAAGATCGACGAAGGAGTACTCTCTTCCGAACTTAATGATGAAAACCAACAAAGAAAGAAAAAGGTAATCCATTAAAAACTAGTGGTCTTTTTAAGACTACTGTACTCACGGTTAAGCTTTTGAGTTTGGTGATTTTGTTATGATATTATGTATAAAATTAGTTTATTTACTTGATTTCTAATTTCATAGGAAATTTGTTTATTTGAATATTGGTTGGCATTGATTGACATAGGTATATTTAAGTAGCCGTTGTGGCGTACACCAATTTTGTGAGCTCATCGACAATTTATGTGATGGAAAAAAGAGGGCCATTGAAGAAATTGGATTTGGTGCACTCTTGCATTTGAAGAAGCATAAATTGAAGTTGAATCTTTTGGAGGACCTTATGATGAGATTCAATGTGACTACTAGTGAATTGAATGTGCACGGTAATCGACTGTCTCTAAGTGTAGATAATGTTGTCACCATATTGGGATTACCTGCTCAAGGTATGGATGTGGAAACCCAGTTAGGTGAGTGTGATTGCGGAGTGAGGGTAAGATTTAATTTGGGTACTGGACAAATAAAATGCTTGAGATTAAAAACAAATTTGGTGAAAGATCTCACGGAAGGTGAAGAGTTCACAGGGAAATTTCTTTTATATTTAATGTGTAGACTTTTGAGACCGTCTACTTCCGTTCATGTTCCCAATAGTTATTTAAACATTTTAACGAACATCAATGTTGTGGGAAACTTGAATTGGCCAAAGTTCATCTATGATGGTCTTTTAGAAGGTATAAAAGACTATCAAAACAAACCAGAAGACTCTTCATCAAGAGAACAATCTGTGACAGGATGCATGCTATTACTGGAGGTAAGTACCAATTTGTTGTTTAAACTTTAATGTCGTATAATATAGACATTATTGATAGAATATGAATTAATGCCACATTGCATGTAGATTTTTTACTTGGACCTTGTGCAATTGCATAACTTTGCTCGTGACTCAAGTTCATTACCGCGCATACGAGTTTGGGATGACAACTTCATTTCGAAGGTTGTTAAAAATGTTTATTGGTTAGGTGGGGTTGATAGCATCCAGGTAAATACTAGACCAAAATGTTCTTTTATTATTGTTGAATAAGATTCAGTATCATGCATTGATTTTTTACATTTGATATTGACACGCTAAAACACAACACCTAACAATGGCCAAGTGTAACCAATGAAAGGGACTGCAGTATAGGCTAGTTTAATTATCAACCCGGGGTCTAGATCTACTGCTTACTCCGTGATTCTCTATTATCTAGCAATCGAGTGATTGTTGTGAAAAGTAAAAGCAACAAGAAAGCAGTAAATTGTTCGGGTTTCTAAAGCAGGCAAGAGTCACTCGGGATTGAGTCCCCCTAGCCCCTTAGTTAGGTTCAATTGCAATTCCCTGGGTTGATTTACTGTTGATTAGACTGCGGAAGATCCGACAGTAGCTTGGAATCTCTTAAGCTGACCAAGCCCTCTCAGTCTTACTACCCGGCAGACGACTAGTCTTCACCGGGATAGAAAGCTGAGGCTATGAACACAGAACTCCACTACTGGCGCCAAGAACACCAGTACAAAGCAGTAAACTGGCTAACTCTCGTATAGCCAATCTCCTACTATCGAATGAAGAGGCTCTAACAACCTAATCAGATTCTATCTATCTCAGGTTGCAGCAGAAATTGAGAAAAGCTGATCAGACTCAAATCAATTCATTAAACATGCGTCATTCGATTAAAATCAAACAATAATATCATCCCAAGCATGGTTGTCACGCCGGCCGGCATGCCACCGGTTGTACCGGGTTCAACCGGTACCGGTCATAAAACCGGCGTGACACCACCGGTATGACCGGCATGATCGATATACGAATCTTTAAGTAAAATGTTTTATTTTAGAGAATTTAATTGATAAAAATTATTTTATTATTTATTTTATGTGTATAAAAGTCAAATATTGTTGTTATTTGTTGGATTCAAGTATAAATGTTTAGGTATTGACGTTAAATGTGATGTTTAAATATAAGTATTTATAATTTTATTTGTAATATTGACTGGCATGAACCGGCACAAACCGGTATGTGCCACTGGTTGAACCATTCCACTTGCTAAACCGGCACACTGGCATAAACCGGTTTGACAACCCCAAGTCATTACAATCAAATCCCTAACACAAGGAACTAGGGTTCTTCATACCCAAGTGAGAGAAGGGTTCTACTCCATAGAGAGAGAAGAGAAAACAAGAATCGGATTAGTCATACTCATAACGATGAGGATAATCTGCTCCGAGACGATGATTTTCACTCCTATGACGATCTCCAAGCTCGATTCGATGAAATCCAGCTCTAAGACAGCTTCTAGGATGTGTTCTTCGTACTTTCTCTCTCTAGGGCTCTGTTTTTGCTCTCAAAACACGATTCTCCCACTTCTGGCTCGGAATAGGCTCTAAAACAGGGTTTCCCGACTTGCACGGCCAGGGTGCACGGCCGTGCACATCACCATTTTGGCCGTGCACCCTAAAACGCGCCGTATCATTAAATTCGACCCTCAGGCTTCTTGCACGGCCAGGTGCACGGCCGTGCGTGGCCACGCACAATCCCGTGCGTGCCCACGCACAATCCCGCACGGCCAAACTGGTTACTTGCACGGCCGTGCGTGGCCACGCACAATCCCGTGCGTGCCCACGCACAATCCTGTGCGTGCCCACGCGACTTCCTCAGAACCTCGCCATGCGTCCGATCCTTGTCCAATCGACCTCAAAGTCGCTCCCAAGCCTCCATTCACGTACTAGGACCTGAAATATCATAAACAAGCACAACCTAGCGTGAAATCGGCCTAAAACACGAGAATCAATACCTCAAACGGAGTAAGAGCAGGGGTAAAAACATGTGTAAATAACGGTCTATCAGATATATCTATGTATGTAGGTGGGATTTGGAAGAGATCCTGCAAGCCGTTATACAATTGAGGTTGGATTTTCATCTGACTATTTGTTTATGTAATTTTCATCTTAGCAGTTTGTGTCATTTTGTTTATTTTTCAAACAGGATGTTAGAGCAGAGATTATTGAACTGAAAAGTCAGTTAAAAAAAGAATCAGAGTTCACTATGTCACAATTAGGTGCTTTTAAGGAGGAAATATCATCTTCAATCTCACAAGTAATGACAACATTGGCTTCCATTCAAAGTCAACTACAACAGGGAGTGGGAAACAAAATCAATTCCGCATGTTTTACTCTCCAATCCACTTTGCCTCTGCATTTTTTTCTTTTGACTCTGCATTTAGGGACTGCCTCTGCAGTGCCAAAACATGAGCCTCTACATTTTTTTTCTTTTGACTCTGCATTTAGGGACTGTCTCTGTAGTGCCAATACATGAAAAACAACCTTCCTCGACGAAATTTAGGCTCAAATTAAAGGGAATAACATCAAGAACTCCTAACAATCCAACAAATATTCATTGCAATTCAACATTAACTATTAACTTACCTCTAGCTACTTACCTAACTAGCTAGTTGCGGCCTTGCGGGCGACGTATAATAAGAAGGACGAAGCTACAATGTTTGGCCTCGAGAATTTCACCGCCTTGGACCACTTTCTTTCGAATAGCTTGCACTTCATTTTCTATATCCTTTGGTGTGAATCCCATATGCTGATATCCTCCATGTTGCTCCTTGCAAAATTCAGTTATATAACGAGGGCTTACTCCAATAGTATGCAATGCCTCGATGAAAGCTTTATCACTTTCTTTGATTTCACGGTGAGATCACAAAAGATGGACCTGCTTGGATGAAACCAAGTTATGGTTGTGAGTTGATATTAGCTTCTTCACAACCCACTTCCAAGTATCATGATCCAAATTCACGCGAAATTCTGCTTCACAACCTCCCCTAGTTATTCGACGCGGCTTGCGTTTACGATCAGATTTGTCCAACCACACTTGATGCCGATGGCCCTCCTTTGCACAAACCCATCTTTGCATTAACATTTCGCCATCACGTGATTTTTGACAATCTCGCTTTCGAATACTAAACCCAACTCTTTTTGCATAGGCATTGTAAAAGAATTCAGCATCTTCCAAGGTCTCGAACACTAAAGCTAATATAGCTTGATCAAAAGTTTGAGTGATATTGACATATTCATCTGTGTGTTTTTCATGCGAAGGCATATCATCATTTTCAGCTTTCTCATATTCACTCATTGTGGACATAAGCACATGCACCCAGAATCCATATAACATCAAAAATAATACATTGTATCCAACTAAATTGCAGCAAATATGTACAATAGAACCAGCAACCCACAAAAAAGTGCTTCTTTGCATTTGAAAGGGGATTATGAAAACATGTACAACAAAAAACTGCCCTTCTTTTCATTTGACAGGGGAGAAACCAACAAACATCTGATCGGATAACCACAGCTGCCAATCAAGAAGAGCAGCGACAAAGGAGAATTAAAAATTGCTTCTTCTCCCGTCAAGATTGAGTTAGCGAAAGAACTACAAGGAGAAGTGGTGGCTAAGTGGACCCTTCACCTCGAGATTGACGAAAGAATGGCAACGGACGCCACAGATGAGGAGATTGGGAAGGGCAACGACACCGGGTTTGATTGGTTCAGAGCTTATGCGAGAAACTGAAGCGGGAGGAGATGGTGGGTGAATTTCCGACCGAGTATTGTAGAGTCGTCGTTGCGGCCGAGCCTGCCGCCTGATGAGCCTGCCAGCCCTGCCTCACCATCGCCGAGCCTGCCGCACCGTCCTGGCTCACCGTCGCCGAGCCTGCCGCCCCGCCGATCTTTGTGATGCAGAGCTAGGGTTCGTGAGAAGGAGATAGAGAAGAGTCAACTTTGATTGACATTTCTTTTTTTCACTCGATGGAGATGGAAATTAAGTGGGTAAATTCCCCAAAAGTGAAACGACATCAAAAGGAAAGACCAAAGTTGACAGGTACAACAAAACGGCAGCAAGAATTTGTTTTTTACTTTTCTAAATCCCCTCACACCAAAACGATGTGACCGGTTGAACCTGGTTCAATCTGTGCATCTAATGAAATCGACGTGACACCACTGGTAATGACCGGAATAATCGACTTATAAATTCTAAGAAAAAAAAATTTGTTTTCATGAATTTAATTAATAAACAAGTTAATTTATTATTCGTTTTTTGAATTTAATAGTTAAAAGTTGATGGTATTGGTTGGATTGTAAGTGAATTATCTACAAATATGTTTTGTATATGATTAAATAGTTCGGATATTAATCATTTTCACATTTTTAAAAATCGGCATGAACCGACAAAACATTTTTGTACCACCAGTCGTACTATTCCACTTGTCAAACCAGCACAAAGATATAAACTGGTTTGACTTGTAACTCAAAATAGATTAGGCCATGCATACATGGTTGGAACAATGAACCCCCAGCTCCTAACCCGGGGCTTCGCCCCAAGATGCTGACTCGTTATATGGTCAGTGAGATCCCGTGACTTCTAATCAATGAAAGAAATATTTCCCGACTTCGCTTACTCTAAGTTTACAATCACATACCACAATCCAAAATCGACCAACTCGCTCGTTTAGACATAAAACACTCGAACTGGTCAAGCCCACACATCAAGCTCAAATATGTCTTTCGCTCAATCAATTTGTTTTTGTACGTTCATTTGTTAACCATTAATAGTTAAAGACGATAAAACCAAGTAGGTTCAAATGATAGATACGTTATACACAGATATCATGTTCATGAAAAATATACAACCAACTAAGATAGCGAGACAAAGATAGTAAATAATGTTGGTAAAATTACATCATATCGGTTGGATGTACCAATCAAATAGATTAATTAAAAATAAACCATATCGCTATAATAGAACCAAGTAATTGCTAATGACAATAAAAATAAGAAATCACGTTATTAATCTCAACATGACTTCTGAAGATGAAAGAAATAGTTTCCGACTTTGCTTATTCTAAGTTTACAATCACTGGCACCTTAGATTTAAATAGAGAATATCGTAATATCAACCATTCAAGCTAAATTCACAGTATGTAACAGGAACAAAACCACAATTTTTTGTTCAGAGGAACTTTCTTTAAACATCAATTGAAAATGCTAAAAATTAGCGATGAGAAACTAATTCATCAATTTAAGCGAACTCATTAAATTTGCTTGGCAAAATTATAATTCAAACTAAAATGTATAATAAAGAGTGAGGCTAAATTGTTAAATTGACTTCATAAAGCTAATTTATTAAAGTTAAGAAAATGTATAAAAGGTAAAAAGAAACTAATTCATCAATTTAAGCTAACTCATTAAATTTGCTTGGCAAAATTATAATTCAAACTAAAATGTATAATAAAGAGTGAGGCTAAATTGTTAAATTAACTTCATAAAACTAATTTATTAAAGTTAAGAAAATGTATATAAGGTAAAAAGTAACACTACTGGGAATTGAACCTGCGACATTAACTACGAAATGATTAACATTTTGTCCACTAGGATAGAGAAATGTTTGTGTTATTTTTGTACGCAATAGTTAGATAGAAAACGTTGTGTAAGACTTCTGTAATGATTTAGCTTTTTATGTAACACGCAGTTAGTACTCATTACGTAAAGTGACCTTCCAATACGTAAGACTTTCGTATTGAATTTTTACAACTGTTACGTAAAATAAACATCTATTACGTAATGGTTACGTAACAAAGTTATTTATTACGTAAGAGTTAAAATGGAAGCGTTACGTAAGGCTTCCGTAATGACTTAGCTCTTTACGTAACGCGAGGTTAATACTCATTACGTAAAGGAACCTTCAATTACGTAAGACTTCCATAACGACCTTTTACAACTGTTACGTAAAATACACTTCCATTACGTAAAGGTTACGAAATGATAGTTATTTCTTACGTAACAGTTAAAATGGAAGTGTTACGTAAGGCTTCCATAATGACTTAGCTCTTTACGTAACGCGACACCAATACTCATTACGTAAAGGGACCTTCCATTACGTAAGACTTCCGTAATGACCTTTTACAACTGTTACGTAAAATACACATCTATTACGTAAAGGTTACGGAATGATAGTTATTTCTTACGTAACAGTTAAAATGGAAGCGTTACGTAAGGCTTCCGTAATGACTTAGCTCTTTACATAACGCGACACCAATACTCATTACGTAAAGGGACCTTCCATTACGTAAGGGTTACATACGACAGTTATTTCTTACGTAATAGTTTAATCAGCAGCATTACGTAAGGCTTCCGTAATGACTTTACACTTTACGTAATGCAAGGCTAGTATTCATTACGTAAAATAACCGTCTATTACGTAAGGCTTTCGTAATGGTGCTTTACAACTGTTACGTAAGGTTACCATACGTTACGTAACTATTACGTAATACCTATTGTATTTTACGTAATGCAACCTGTGAAACCTGCTATAGCAGGTAAAAAAATTCATGTTACCTTACTTCAAGTTACCATAGGAGTTCCCAAAATTATTACAATTAACCCAAAATGGTTATATAAGTCTAATCGTGTGGTTATGATGTCAAACTTTTAATTCAATATTTTCGATTTTAAAGCTTCTAACTTACGTCGCCAGGGTGCGAGAGCGTCAAAGCATTTATTTTTCAAGAACTCAATAATGATAAAGTGAACAGAGCGTCAAATTCTTTTTTATTTTATTGATAATGTATTATCTTTCCTCAAAATATATTGGATAGTATACGAGCAATATTATCATACTTCACCCTTACAATTGAAATGGATGTGATTTTTGAATATTCATTAAAAATATTCCTTCATCTAATACCAGTATAAAAAAGTAACGGCATGAAGTAAACCTAACTATTTGATAACTAAGTATAGGTAAATATTAGATGATTAATCTAGATAATAAATAAAAGCCGAATGATGAAAAGTGTTGCTCCATTTCAAATTTCCTGCAACGAGAGTGATTATAGGAAGGACATTTTGGTCTTCACAATTGCTTATTTTCTTATTTATTTATTCATAAAAAGGGCATGAACTGGAATTTGAACCTTGGTCCATTTAAAGGCAAGCAAGGATCATAACCAATCACACTAAGTATATTTGTTGTATCTATTTAAATTCAAACACACACGAACCTAAATTATGAAAATCATATGACTTTTTTAACGATTAGTTGGCCACTAAATCTCCCGTAAGTACTTATTTGGTGTTTTAATACTTTGATTATTTTAGTTGTAGTTTAATACTTAATTTAAATTTCTATCTATTTTATAAATATACAATAACCCTAAAATTGCAGCCCAAATATCACTGGTTCGAATATTGCATATCGAATTGCAATATTAAAAAAGTAGAAGCAATATCGACTTCTTAAATTAATATTATTTTTCAGAATTACTATGGAGAAATTATATCTTTGTGCAAACTATATGAGACTGGTTCTTTTAATGGTTTAGTCGGGATAACCGCTACATTTTAAACTTCTTCATAATCTGGCATGATTGGATCCAATGATCATTATACAAGATTGTGTTTAATAGGGTGGTTCATTTCACCACTTTTTGGCGTGTTAATGAATTTGTAGGACAATGACAGGTCTACATCTACACTCATCACAATCTACACATCATATAAATGTGAAATGTGAAATGAGAAAAGAGGGATTCCATTTCAAATTTGATGCGTACAGAGCAATTTTTTAGGGGTAAATTTAGAAGATGCCAGTGTGGTCGGTCTGTTGAGCACGAAAGTAAAAATATGTTTTCATTTAAACGGGCCCAAACTGTTATTTGGCCCACTAATCGTGCACCCATCGCCAATGCAGTCAAATTCGGGATTTTGATCGTAAAATCGTAGGATTTTAGGATTTTACTTAGGGATTCCGATCTTGATTTTACTATAAAATCGGTGGACCTTAAAATCGTTTAAAATCGGGACTAAAATCGTTAAAATCGTAAAATAGTACCGAAATCGGGATTTTGATCGTAAGAGAACAAAATAGGTGGTTTGAGCCAATTTAAAATAAGTATAACTGTTTCAGCGGAAAGGGCAATTGAATCTTCTCAGATATTTTTCTATTAGAAAAATATTCAAAAATAATAAAAATAACCAAATTATGGTTCGGTTAATCTCTTTCCCTTCACCCCATTTAACGTATTGGTAAAACACCTGCCCTAATAT